GTGTAAGAGCAGCAAGATTCACTCTCAAGCAACTGGCAGTTTAGTAAGAAAGGTAAGTCAGGGATATAAAAAGCATAGTCTAGTGCAATGAGTATTACAGGAAAGGTGTCAATAAAGGACTTTGAAGATTGAAGGTAGAAAATCAAGGAGGCTTTATAAAGAAGCTGGAACTTTGATAGGTGAAAACAGGCCTCAGGGAAAGGAAAGCATTTTAACAAGAGGAACTGGCATGAGAAAAATGGAAGGGAAGTGAAAAAGTACAGGGCAGTGGGAAACTACCCTCACATCCATACGTGATCTGGAAGTTAGAACCACGAGTCAGGAACGTCGTTCATTAGCTTGTCTCTCTTCCCAGGATTCAGCGTTGTTCCTGGTACTCGACTGAGTAAGCACTCAATGCCGATTTGTTGAGTGAAAGACTAGAGAAGTAAGCACTGTCTCCCACCATGCAAGTGGCTGAGTCTAGGTCCAGAGCCCAGGAACTCTCTGCATCCACCCTGCTGCAGTTATGTCAGGACAGGGCAACACGTCCGAGTTTAGAGCACTCAACTTCTACATTTTCCGTATACCCCCACCAAGGAACTTCCTCTTGCCTTTACTTTCTGTTCTTCTGTAGTTAGTCAATCCACTGACTGAAGGTGCCACTCACCGTCAACTCATTTTGATGATTCTCCCTTTAAAATAGATCCAGAATATGACCGCTTCTCACCACCTCCTCTGCCACCACCCCGGTCTACTGCTCACATTCCACTCTTGATTCCTAGCAAACACAGCAGCCGGGAGGATCCTCACAAGAACACAAGTTTCAGCACATTACACCTGTGCTCCTCCCATTTCCACATGCTCTTCAGGCCTCACGTGGTCTTCCTCCTGCAAACCTGATGAGGAGCACATGCACGCAGGGCTTCCACCTCCTTCATTCCAGCCAGCTGATTTCTTTCTCACACGTGGTGAGACATGCACTTTAATCCTCCCTACTGTCTTCCAATTCTTGCCTATTTACCTCATTAGAAAATGTTATTCCTTCTCCTTCCTTGGTCCTGTTTGTGAGCCAAGCGACAAGCTGTATTAAGTCTTAAAAACCTAAGAATAGTTCTAGATGTTTAACCACCCTGGGGTTTGGAATAAAACTAGGTTAACAAAGAACTGATGTTGTCGTCTTCTGAAGTTTGCCAGAACTTCATTTGTGTGGAGTCTTCAAGCATCCTCATGGAAGTTTCCATCACTTCCTTCTTTTCCCCTGATTAAACCTGCTATTCTTTGAGTACCAGCCTCCTTCAAGTTATATAATCTTTCCAAATAACTTCTTACTTGGGATTATTGTGTTTATGTTTAAGTAGTAGTACAGGAAAATAGGGTTTTCTTTCCTTCTCAATAAACACTATTGATCAGTATCATTGATTAAATAGGGAATTGTGATGTCACCCTTAAGATATAATCACTGCCAATTACACGGTTTCTTTAAAAAACCAACTAACTTATGATGAAAAGTGAAGGGATGGATTTGCATTAGTATGATTTTAGGTCATCAGCTTGCCTGTAAATGGTATTTTGGAATGTGCACCATTGGAGGCCATCTGCATCTAAAACATATGTGGTTTCAAAGGTTACATACAACTTGAGGTAGTGTGAAATGGTAAGCAATTATGCAGTGCCTATTTGCTTGTGCTTAATTTGTTGATAGGACTGAGCTTTTGTAATTTGCTTAGTCCCCAAATTACAGGAGCATGTCTTTTCCTTCAGTGGATGCAGCCCTAGCCCAGGGCAAAGAGCTTGGGGAGAGGAGCATGGGCTAGATTTCTGTCCCTACTTGCTCACACGGCTGGGGCCTATGTGCAGTGCACAACTTGCACAACTGTATATGAGACCGTGCTAAGTTATACAGAAAAATTGCCTTCATATGATGCCCCACCAAATGCCTGAATCTATAAAACAGTCAACCTGTATAACCTACACAGAAATGAAGGGCACACTTATTCTAGTGACCCGGATTCAAATCATAGCAAAAGAAGCAGTGAAGATGAAAAGTTGCACAATCTATAAAACAGTCAACCTGTATAACCTACACAGAAATGAAGGGCACACTTATTCTAGTGACCTGGATTCAAATCATAGCAAAAGAAGCAGTGAAGATGAAAAGTTGTACAACATTGGAGATGGTAGAGAAAGATCAGGGTGTGAGGCAGAGTGAGAAAAAGAGACAGACTAGAGAGAGGGAAGGGGAAGGAAGAAGAGGGTAAGGAGGGAGGAAGAAAAGGAAAGAAGGAAGGAGCAAGCAAAAGAAGATTAGAGCATAAAAATAGAAGTTATTTCAAAAAACATTAATTAACTGCCTCCTTCCCCTTTTTGAGGCATTGTTGGGGGGAGACAGAGATGAGTCCTTATCCCCAGCATCAATCAATTCACAGTATAAAAGGAGCAAAGCCCGTGCACGCTCGCACACACACAACACACACACAATGAGGCAGCAATCCTTGTACGTTTAAGTGGAGCAAGGCACAAGAAGTCCATATTAAGAGAAATAGCTGCACCAGTGAGAAGTCCTTGCCTCCCAGTCCAGCACACCGGTCTCAAGCTGAAGTAGGAGAAAAGCTGCAGACAGCTCAAGCTAGATCAGTGCAGAGGACGAAATGTTCCCGGGGAATTCACTGCTTCATTGCACAGCACACCTCCTCGTGCTGATGCCCTAGGCCCTGGTAATCTATAAAAGAGAGAGACAGGACATGAATTT